AGGCTAAAACAAACCTTACCTGGACTACGCATTCTCACGTCCTCGGACGGTTATTCCAAAGTTCACTCCCGCTGACGACAGTCATTGTTGGACGGCATGTTTCATTCTCAGTCCCGGTCGCCAAGGAAAAACTGCCGGTCTGGAAACGGTGGTGGTCAGATCAGAAGTCTGCAGACGGGTTGCAAAAATGTCTGCGGAGTTTATTTTGCGTGGAGAGGCTGTATTGAGTGGCGCGCTGTTGGGGGGATTGTCTTTAGTGCGGGCGTGTCGGGTGTCACGAAATGTACATAGGTGTGCTACTGGGTTTCACGTCATGCTTCAACCAACGTGCAGATGACTTCCTGACGGACATTTAAATAAAAACCGCTTTAAAAAACGCGAACCAAACACTACAGACTCTTCCATTCAGTTTTGCTATTGTATTTATGTTCGTTTAGTTGCTTCCTGCGTTTTGACAGAAATTGCGTCGCCGTAAAGAAGAAAGGAAAAAAGGCAAACCCCGATTTTTAATGGATTCGCCCAAAGGAAGCGGTCGATATTTCGGGACGTGATTTTTCTAATTAAACAGGAAAAGGGCTGACCATGCGTCATGGGTACGCAAAAAGGACAGGAACTGTCCAACATCAGGATCACGATTCAGCTACATCGTGACTTCGGGAGAAAGAGAATGTTTTCTGCACCTTGTCTTTTGATATGTCTAGATGTTTGAGATGTTTCAGTGTTGTGACGTGTTGGTGTTGACAGACCCTTCAGCGCTAAATGGTATCGCAACTAAACAAAGATAAGAAACGTTTGAAGCTTGTAGGGGGTGAGGGTGGAACTGTCAAACAAGAGAAGCATGTAGATTTGAATATATCTTTACATGTAATGGTTCCCACAACGCAAAAATAGGTAGACATATAAAGGACTGCTTTGTTATTAGAAAAAATACCGAAACTTGTGATTAGCCTACTCCATTGTAACACTTTATCGAAGACTTGTGCTGGCCCTTATTGTTTGCATAATTAAAATATGTTAGGTTTTATTCGACATTAGGTCTTATTCAACACATTTATTTTATTGTTTGTTGCTTTCTTTATGTAGTTTGCCATATATTGTACCATGTGCAATTGTCGTGCAATAAAGTTCTTCTGTCAGATATTTATTTTGTAAAAGAGAGAAGAAATCCTGAAGACTTAGATTAAAATAGAATGTACTTTCTAGTAGTTATTAACTAAGATGTTTACGTTATCCTTTTTATCCTTTCTATTGTATTACAAGTACTACAATACTCAGTAACCACATACATGTCACAGCATACTCGTGTATATGCAATACTAGTAAGCCCATGGTATGAACATGCAGTAAAGATTCATTCAATAATCTATGTTTTTGTTAAGTCTTCGTAACTTTAGTATGCTATCGCTTCGTGCTATAATACCATCTAGTGGGGTCGTGTAGAGTGCTCGACTCGGAAACAAGAGGTCCCGAGTCCTGACATGCCACCGATCTTGTGCCCTTGAGAAAGGCACTTTACACGACTTTCCTCACTTCGCTCAGGTGAAAATGAGTATTGTTTTGTCCCTGTGTTGGTGGCGGCATTGATATAAGTTTCGTCACCACGTCTTGTGATTACATGTTGGAATATATTTTTAAAGATAACATCTTTAATGTTGGAAACAAGAGAAAGAAAAGTACAAAGTAGAGCGGATTCATTTCTCAAGCTAACCGAGTCTGTGACTTTGCCATGTGAGAAGAGGATATGTTGTGACTACGTGAGCTGACATATGAACAAACAGTTTAGGTTTGCAGGTTATAATCTTTGCTTTGTCCGACAGACACGATTTATGTCGCGGTTGAGTGCCCTGGGACCGAGAACTACCGCGGAATGTCACGTACAGGTACAGTCATGCGCACTGGACCGTGTTCAAAACCAACAGCCTGGACACAACTGTTCAACTTTCTTTACATTTGCTCATCAGAGTTATATACACTCCATCCAATAGATAAATTCCGTAACATTTTAGTAGGAGATAACCTTTACTGTGTACAAATAGGTAAATATATCACATATAACAAGTAGTATAAATGGCACGCCAAACTCAATATGTTGATTTATTCACATGCCTTGGGCCAAGGAGCTTCAAATACTTGAAGCTCCTTGCTTGTACGTAGGTTATTCATCTGTATCCACTTGTATGTTTAGTTGTAGAAGTCTAGACTTAACGAAAGTCGCCGTACTTTTGTTATGTCAATAAAGATTGCCTCTCTACACATTGGAAGCACGACTTCTCTAAGTTCACGCCTGAAAAAGGAGGCTATGTACTTTTCGTGACCAACTTTACCTGTTATCTTGTTGAGATAAGTGAGAAACTCTAGAAACTATACCATTGAAACAATGGTGCTTTTTGAGGCAAATAATCCTCTGGATTTTAATTTAGTTGTTTTTCTCTCAAGTATTTTAGATTGGTCTGTCTGCTAACTCAAAGTATGAATCTATTATGGAGAAACGTTTGTTGGCGTGTTCTAGTAGATTAGTCTAGATGTTATAAAACACGACATCTACATAAACCTTTGTCAAACTTTTTATCTCTACACATTGGGAGCACGACTTCTCTACGTTCACGCCTGAAAAAGGATCCTATGTACTTTTCGTGACCAACTTTACCTATTATCTTGTTGAAGTTGGACTGTATTTCGGAACGTCACATGAATTATGTCATGGTTGAAACTGCGATCTAACAGAATTACATGCTGATTCTGATAATCATAAGAGAGAGATCCCGATCAGGACGTTTGGAACATGTGCTGGTGGCCTCCCTATTTCAAATCTTAAATTTCAAGTACGTCTACTGATCTAAATGGCATGATTCGAATTTTAAAGTCTTTATGCGAGTATCTTTAAATTTGGAAACTGTGATCGAAATTTCTACCAGAAGAATCGCCGACTGTGCCAGATTTATATTTCACCCCTGGACTTATGTTTTTTGCCATGCGCACTGATTTAAGGGAAGTTCCTCCATGTGGCAGGAAACGAGGAATGCTTTGATCATGTCATTTCATGTCCGTCTAAATCGAGACCACGCTAGCAATTGGTACACGAAGCAATTGTAATGAAAAGAAATTGCTCAAAATTTAACCTGTTTAAGTGTCGCTAAATTGGAGAAATTGAACGCCAAAAGTCCCTGTAGCATTAAAAGCTACGACTGCAGTCTAATAGTAACCGCTAGAGGTCGCGACGAAGTTGTCCATTTGCCCCCTGTGCCATTAAGTGTCATTTGCAGCCTAGTATGATATTATGGACGCTTTTATCTCTTATGCGTACCGTCGATTTAATAGCCTTCTTGGTCCACAAAATACACTGCTTTCCTTCTTCCTAGCCGTTCTTCTTTTATGCAGAATACGTTAAACCCGATGGCTGTGTAGTTGACTTGTCCGATACCTCAGAAGCAATATAAATTTGTTTGCAAATCATTTTCTGAGAAATTTAGTTGTACATGCAAGCGTTGGTGGTGTAATGGTCAGCATTGTTGCCTTCCAAGCAGTAGATCCGGGTTCGATTCCCGGCCAACGCAGCATTTTAGTCTTTTTCTACGAATCTCTCTGTTTTTAATGCGTCAATGTCGGTTTAAACTTTCAAGCCATTGTTGTATATGTTGCAGAAAGTCCTTCACTTACAAAAACAAGCTTGGTTGAATATATGTACATACGTTTCAAACCCGTGACAAACCCGTGAAATCTAATCATACCCTCCAACATCAGATGAAAGTGACGCGGTAACTTAATACAAAGCCTTGATCTGAATCCGCACGCAATTGTTGCGATACTTGTCCATACTTTATAAACTAACATATACTTGACAACTACAGTAACTTGAAGCTGGAACACGCCTCGTCTTTTTGCCGGTGATATTCTTGTAGAAACTCTACCATCCAAAACAACGGCGCTTTTTTTTGAGGAATATAATCCTCTGGATTTTAATTTAGTTGTTTTTCTCTCAAGTATTTTAGATTGGTCTGTCTGCTAACTCAAAGTATGAACCCAGTGTGGAGAAAGGTTTGGAGAAACGTTTGTTGGCGTGTTCTAGTAGATTAGTCTAGTTGTTGTAAAACATAACATCTACATAAACTTTTATGTGACGTTTGATCTGTGATATCAGACTATATAGCTGCTGACGAGAATTTTTGAAGGCTCGTGGATTGTATTCGTGTGAAAAACACCTTCGAGGGAGACTTCCATAATTTTGCAGTCCGTGAAAAGAAACTATTGCTGTAGAGTTACTCAGAGACGGGTCTTTGGACGGTGTGAGCTAGGAGAGAACCTAGAAGCAGAGAGGTACGCTTAGCAATTCTGCATTGTGGAACGTATTTTGTCTTAGAACCTGTCCCGAAAATGAAGAAGATTGGATTTTATGCAGCGTTCCATGTATTGCAGTCATAACGCTATGATATGAGTAATATATATATATATAGTATAGTTCTATATTGACAGGTTCTGTTAGTTCATTAGTGACGCTATAGAAGAGTCGTGGATGTCACTCGGAACGTCCGGAAGTTATCTCCGTAATTTATCCAGTAGTAGAGTTCGAACTTTCAATGAGTGGTTACAAGGCTTGATAGTACATGTGGAAAGTCATGCCTCAAAATGTGGTACCCTTGTTGTTTCGGGGCCCGGACCTTTTTGCTGTACCCTCATAAGTTGGGGCTAGTTTTTCCTAACCTGACCTGGAGTCGTCTATCGTGGTTGGGGCGGGTTTTCTTCGGGGCTGCAGGAGCTCTTCCCCGCCCGCATGAGCTAGGTTCCCCGGTAGGTTTGTTACGGCGGGGGTTATTAGCCCCACCACGATATTGTGGTGGGGTGAACCAACTCCCGGCGTGGCAAACTCCTATAGCTACCGGGCGGTCTGTTGAGCTGGACGGGGTAAAACTATCATAGCCCCGAAGACAGCCTGCCCTAACCACGATAGACATGATACCAGGCGTTTTCAGTGCGAGTATTTTGCCTCAGAACGTGCCTTGGAGATGAAGAAGAAGAAAAGTAAACCGTGTGCAGTGGCCCTGTACACGTTGGGCGGTGCTCTGCTTGTGACGGGGTTGGCGCTACTGGTCACAGCTGCCGTCATGGCCACTTGGCTCATACCGGGGAGGAAGGTGGGCGAGTCTTCCTGCACTTTTACACAGAACAGTTTCCTAATTTTACTGTATACAAAATGACTAAAAACCTAACCTATTAAATGCGTGAATGAAGTTCTGTGTTATGAAGTTCGAAGGTATTCCCGTGCCGAATTTCAGGTCATTCGGAATTGATACCAGGGTTCCAGATCCCAAAATGTACATCTTTTGCCCGAAAATCGCCCCCCCCCAAAAAACACAAATAAAACAAAAGCCTGTATAAAAAAACCTGTATCAAAAAATGGAAAAACGGCATCTGGGGGCATTCGGCCACTCTACCTTCGACATTCAGATCTTTTGGTTCAAAAATGAAGAAGTTGAATCAATTTAATGAAATTTCAGTACTGGGCCTGTCCTTGGTGCTGAAACTGTTGTACATTGTTATTAATGGTTACTTGCCTCTAGCGGTCGGGCAATTTTTAGGCAGAATTCACAACAAATTTATTATCATTCACGTTGATAGAAGCCTGCAAAACTAGCCTAGAATCTATTGATAGTTTGGATGTACTGCTGACGTTAACTGTCCAACAGTTATCTCCAAGCAGATGTATAGTTTTGCCTTTTTTGTGCATTATTCCTGTTGCATTTTGTATGTCTTTTGTAGGAAAAATGGCTCTAGGTTTAAGAAATCTTGTCCTATATGTACAATGCATGGGTGCTCACATGTAACGTTACATATACTTTAATTTGATACCTGAATCCATTGGTAGAAATTCTGGTATAGAATGTGATTGACTTGTATTGACTTTGTTATAGGAGACATTGGCTTCAGACAATCCAGGTGGTTCTAAGTTGGAGGCCGTACAGAAGACATCAGCTACACCATCGCTCACCTCGGCACCCTACACTGAAGACAGTCCCGTTTTCATCAATTCGACCACGTCGGCAAAGATAAAATCTACAGAACCGTTGACCACTGCCTTACCAACAACCCGCGGGCCACAGGCAACCACAGGTAGGCTGTGTTGTGAGGAGCGTGGGTCCTGGATGTTAATGTAGCTGCGATGCTACTGAAAATTAGAGTTTGAACTGTTAACAATTCTGGCATGCAAATACAACATGTATATTATGAATGGAGACAAGCCTCATGCACAGGCTAAAATTTGGCATGGAGGTGGAGTGGTCAAAGACTTTTTTTTCATTCTTGGATGCATGCTTTTAAATTTTTTTGCCATTTTCAGACAAAATATGTACAGTTTGGGATCTGGAGCTCTGGTATTACGTAACCGTAAATCTAAATGACCTGAAATTTGGCATCATTATCAGGGGATACCTTGGGCATATACCCACAGAAAGTCATTTATGCTTTTTTTAACATGTATCACTTTAAAATTGTGTAAAATAGGGCTTTTAGCTATTTATTATCTCTGTGATAATAGAAGAGACTCACTCAACTATCATTCACACAGCTGTCAACCATTGCGCAAAGAACCCCTGTCTACATGGCATCTGTGAGAACAAAGATGGCGGCTACACCTGTACCTGCTCACCTGGATGGACTGGACACAACTGTCAGAAAGGTGAGTTACTTTTGTGCAGTTACATGTACTAAGGCCATACTGATTTGATTATATGCATGACATCTTCTGGGCACCTGAAAACTAACAGCGAGAGATTGTGTAAGATAGCTAGGAGATATACTTCTTTGCTTCTGTTTCTTTCCTGTACTTTTCAAAGTTCATTCCTGGCCCAATTGACTTAAAATGGTCTGAAATGGTCTGAAATAAACTTAAAATGCTCGGCATTCAAATGTTTAGTTTTTTATTCTTTTTAACATTCAGACATAGTTGAGTGCACCAGCAAACCATGTCAGCATGGGACTTGTGCAAACAAAGATGATGGCTACACCTGTACCTGCTCAACTGGATGGACTGGAAGCAACTGTGACCAAGGTGATCAACTGAATGTTTCTTGCTTTTTAAATGAGAGAAAATACACTTCCTGAGTTTAGTGTTAATTCTTCTATTGCAATGGGGTTGTTTCTGCTGCAAGAAAAACATTGTAACTTGATGACAAGTGTTGATAGTAATGATAAAGGAATGTCTGTATGCTAGCAGACTTCCTACAAAGTAGTCTGACTGTTATGTACATATTATGTATCACACAGATGTCAATGAGTGTGTGAAGAACCCTTGTAAGCACGGAACCTGTGTGAACAAAGATGGCGGATACACCTGTACCTGCCCACCTGGATGGACTGGACAGAAGTGTGAACAATGTGAGTTTTCTTTTCTTTTCACTGAGATGAAGTTGAATTATTATGTTCTCCTCTCCATTCTTTTCCCTCCCTCCCTCTTGTTGCCAAACATACGTCATGTACTATATTTTATGTTTTTGAAACATTATCTGAACATGGTTTTTGAATAGAGTACAATGTTCTGTAAAATGTCGTGTAAAATGGTAGGACAAAATATGGGAAATACATTAAGAATCATTTTCTTTACTGTGTAGACATAAATGAGTGCACCAGCAAACTGAACTGTCAGCATGGAACCTGTGTGAACAAAGATGGCGGCTACAAATGTACCTGCTCACCTGGATGGACTGGAAAGAAGTGTGAACAAGGTGAGCTATATTGTCTTCTTGTATTTGGGATGAACAAGTTGTTTGGTATCATCCTTCCCCCCTTAGCCTCCCCTCTTGTTGTAGTTGCCAAACGTTCTTTAATTTGTCTTTGGCTATACAGTATACCTATTTGAACATGGTTTAAGAAGATCAGTTACAATGTCCTGTAAAATGAAAGGAAAATATATAAGAGAAGGTTTACGATTGGTTTAAAATTTGGTCCAAGAATATTCTTTCCTATGTGCTCCTGTAATATCACAGAGAAAATCATATAATAATAGGATATAGGTTTAATGATAAAAGGTAAAATTGTGTCCAAGCATTGTTTTCTTTATTGTGCAGACATAAATGAGTGCACCAGCAAACCATGTAAGCATGGAGCCTGTGTGAACAAAGATGGCAGCTACAAATGTACCTGCTCACCCGGATGGACTGGACAGAACTGTCAGCAAGGTGAGTTATTAGGGACAAAGAAGTTGTTTGGCATCATCCTTTTTTCTGCCCTCATGTTTTCCTTGCTAAATATCCTTTATGTCATCTTTTGCTATATACCTATTTGAACATGGTTTGAAGATATCAGGTACAATATGCTGTAAAAAATGATAGGAAAATACATTGTATAAGGTTAAAAATTAGTCAAATTGGGTTCAATTTCAACAAGAGCATCCATAAGCTGACCTGGATTTCACCAGATGGAAACACTATCAACCAAATTGATCACATAATGATAAATAAGAAATGGCAGAGATCGCTTCTGGATGTAAGAGTCTACCGAGGAGCAGATGTGGGTAGTGACCATCACATGGTAGTGTGTAAGATCAGGCTGAAGCTGAGAGCTACACCCCCCTCTAAGAAACGCCGCAAGGTGTTTGACACTTCCAAACTACACACTCCAGAAACCAGACAGAAATTTGCCCTTGAGTTAAGGAATCGTTTCCAAGCCCTAGAAACTCTTGATGGCGAGGAAGAGCATGACACTGTAGAAACAACATGGAACACAATTACAAAGGTGTATAGGGAAACAGCAGAGAAAGTCCTTGGCTACAGAAAGAGAAATAACAAGGAGTGGATCACACAGGAGACGTGGAATAAGATTGAAGAGAGGAAAATAGCCAAAGGAAAGATGCTTAACACAAAGTCCCAACGAGCAAAAGACACATACAGAACCAAAGACAAACAGGTTAAACGCAGCGCTAGGCGTGACAAGAGAGCCTACATAGAGGAGTTGGCGTCTGAAGCAGAAAGGGCTGCCACAAGGGGAGAGTTAAGTACAGTGTACAGAATAACCAAAACACTAAGTAACCAGAACAGTGTCTGCTCAGTTCCAATCAAGGACAAACAAGGTAAACTGCTTACAAATGAGAAGGAACAAGCAGAAAGATGGGCCCAACATTTCGAGGAGGTGTTAAACAGACCTGAGCCTGATCAACCAGCTGATCCCACTCCGTCTGTTGATATTCCCATCAACACCGACCCCCCCAGCCATGAAGAAGTAGAAACGGCAATTAAAGCCATGAAAAACAGAAAGGCCCCAGGAATTGATGCCATACAAGCAGAACTCCTGAAGGCAGACTGTGCGACAGCCACACTATTACTCACAGACCTCTTTGCCAAAATATGGGAACATGAAGTTATCCCTCAAGACTGGGAGAAGGGACTCATCTTTAAGATCCCCAAGAAAGGTGTGTTAAGTAACTGTGATAATTGGCGGGGAATAACATTATTGTCCATCCCAAGCAAGGTGTTCTGCAGAATCCTCCTCAAAAGGATTGACAGTGCCCTAGACACCAAGTTGAGAGAAGAACAAGCAGGTTTTCGTAAAGCTCGTGGTTGCTCAGACCAGATCTTTGCTCTCAGAAATATCATTGAACAGTGTGTTGAATGGAACTCCCCTCTGCTGATAAACTTTATTGACTTTCAAAAGGCTTTTGATAGTGTACATAGGGAGAGCCTGTGGAAGATTCTAAGAGCCTATGGGATTCCACAGAAGATAGTTTCCATGATAGGGAAATTCTACGAACACTTCGAATGTAGTGTCATCACGGAAAGCAGTTTGTCCAAACCTTTCTACGTAAAGTCTGGTGTAAGACAGGGCTGCATCCTCTCCCCTATCCTGTTTCTCATCACTATTGACTGGGTAATGAGAGAAACCACGTCAGACCGTCCTCGTGGCATCAAATGGACACTGAACACTTACCTTGAGGACCTCGACTTTGCCGACGATCTTGCCGTCCTTTCATCTGTTCGCAAATCACTCCAGGAAAAGACGGACCGCTTAAGCGACCGTGGCAAAAGCACAGGCTTATACATTAATAAGAAGAAAACACAAGTAATGTACATCAACACTCCAGCAAACCCTCCCATCAAAATAGACGGGGAGGCACTGGAAGGTGTAGGCGCTTTTACTTACCTGGGAAGTGTTATGAGTGCTACAGATGGTGCACAAAAGGACATTAAAACCCGCCTGGACAAAGCAAGAGGTTCCTTTAGCCGACTACAAACCATCTGGAAGTCGAAGCAGTATAGCCTCACGACCAAGATCAGACTCTACAACAGCAATGTGAAATCCGTCCTTCTGTATGGCTCGGAGAGTTGGAGAATGACGAAGACAGACATGAGGAAGATCAACTCATTCCACAACAGTTGTCTACGAAAGATCTGCAACGTCTTCTGGCCAAACAAGATCTCCAACGCCGAACTTTACAACAGAACTGGCTGTAGGAAACTCACCACTGAGATCACTGGCAGAAGACTCAAGTGGCTAGGGCATGTACTGAGGATGCCTGACAACAGGATCCCCAAAGTTGCCCTTAGCTGGAGGCCAGAAGGAAAGAGGAAAAGAGGCAGACCAAAGACCACATGGAGGAGAACGGTGTCGGACGACCTGGCGGCCATGGGTCTGAACTGGAGAAGTGTCAACAACATGGCGCAGGACAGACCCAGATGGAGGAAGAAAGTCATGGCCTTATGTCTCACAAGGGACGAAGAGGATAAGTAAGTAAGTAAGTAAATTGGGTTCAAGCATTGTTTTCTTTACTGTGCAGACATAGATGAGTGCAACAGCAAACCATGTCAGCATGGAACCTGTGTGAACAAAGATGGTGGCTACAAATGTACCTGCTCACCTGGATGGACTGGACAGAACTGTGAACGAGGTGAGTTCTCGTACTCTAATCTGTATCTGTAACTGTATATCGGTATAACCGCCCTTCGGCGTAACACACCAGCTTTGCAGGCACACGGTGTGGCAGCAGCTGGCTATATTACACCGAACAACCTGTTACACCTAACCCTTGAACATCTAACTCACCAATTAATGTCACTGAGACGAAAATATTTTTAAGTTTTAATATTTTGGAAGCGTGAAATCAGAGCTGATTTCTTGTACTCAATTAATAGTCTAGATTAACTTATACATGTATTAACGTAACATCTAAGGGGCTCAGATTTCTCAAAGAGCCCATTTTTCACAAAGAACTCTTCAAGGAACTAAATAATTATGATATACACCTACTGTATCTCACTTCACTATCTCTTATTAACACATACAGTCAAAGAATGCCAACCTGGGTGGAGCAAACACAGCAACCACTGCTACAAACTGATGACAGAAACGGTCACCTGGTATGAAGCAAGCCGCATTTGCAAACAAAACGGAGCAAATCTCACTTCTGTCATGGACTTCGGAGAGAACAAGTTCATCAGTTCACTTGCGATTGGCAAGTCCTTACCTTGTAAGTATTATATCAGACTCCATATCTCAGCTTATAAGTATTATAAGATTATGATATCAGAGTCTGTATCTATCTGATTATAGTGTACATGTATCTATCTGATGCCTCATACATGTGCTTACTTGGTTGCTGATGGTTCCAACTGAATTTTTAATCTCGATTCTTGATTGATAGCTTAGGTTGTTGTACTGTTTGGTTATTCTTGATTTTTTATGAGCTCAATTCCATTAGTGTGACCATACTCCTTACATGTCATGATGCATTGTGTACTACATGTATGTGTAATATAGGATCTAGGATTCAACAAAAATGTTGAATTGCAAAATGTTAACCTGCCCCTTTTTCCTTCAATGACAGTTTCCAGTCTATCCTACTGGCTCGGACTGAAGAGCAAAGAGCGTGGACTGTGGGGTGTTTCTCATCTGCCCTTGAAGTGGACAGATGGGTCACCATTTACCTTTGGTCTGATTCGTCCAAACATGCACAGGACAGATGCTAAGAGAGAAAAGTGCCTCACCATGCATTCGCTGGTGGGTCACTAAGTGTTTTTGATCCCTAACCTCATATAGAGCTACTGCTTGGTAGAATAAAGACTACTTTTTGGTAGAAATCATGTAGGTGGTACATGTAGGTGGTGCTTTGACATAGGGTCACATAGTTTGGCCACTTTATTGAAAGAGCACACTCAGTCACTATTTGGAGCAACAACAACAATTCAGGGAGACATTAGAATAAGTGAAGGTTCAAGTAGTTATCTTTTAGACTGATAGAAATCTTTCAATGTGCAGGTTTTATGGCATAGAATTCAAGAAAACAGACTTAAATTTAAATACAAGTGGTTAATGTGAATAGTTTCTAAATGACAATATACTTCAAAATCGACATAAAAATTTGATATTGTTACACAATACTGCATTAATGTTTAACTAATGTATTGTGACTTTTCCTACAGACATCACGATGGGAATGGCAGATATGCAGCAAGGAGCTCCCTTTTATCTGCAAGAGTCCAAAGATAATCTGACACATTCCTAGTACAGGGGTTTTTCTAAACAGTCTGAAATAAGGGCTGAAACTGCTCCCTCATGTAAGCAGCCAGCTCCCTCATCAATTTTCAGATTGAAGCTTAAGTGGCTAACGTACACGCCATTTAGTCTTTCTCAAAATGACATTTTTCCAGTAAAGATGTAACATCTGTGTCCATAATATCACCATAGTCCATATTATCGCCACATTGAGAAAAAGTGGGCTTAAAGATATTTTTACTGCAACATACCCTAGGTATGTACATTTGAGGTGTGCAGGAGTTCATACCAAAAGTATGTTGCAGTAAAAATAGCTTAAAGCACACTATTTTCTCAAGGTGGCGATATTATGGACCCTGGTGTTAAACATGGATGTTAAACAGAATACAACAATGCATTCTAGCATTACAAACTGTGTTACTCTCATAAAAAAATCCCTTGGTCACTTCGCTCTCTCGCCATGCTTGCGATCTGCTCCCTCATGCTAAATTTTTCTAGAAAAACCCCAGTAGTATTCCTAATACATGTATTCCTAACATTCCTAGTATCAATGACATTGTTTAAAAAGCTTTGTCCAGTCTGGCAAACAAGACTTTATAATAAGACATGTGACTTCACACACCCCAATTCATGGCAACTAAAACAACTTTGAAATGTAAACTTGAGAGGAGAGGACATTGGTCATTTTTAGATTGTGAAGCACCACTTTATTGTAACAATGCACAATGTTATTTCTACATTGTATAACTTTGAGAAAAGCATTGGTGATGTTTTTTTAGATGTTTTTTAGTTTCCTATGAACCTATGATGATTATTGTAAGGTATTAATGATCATTCTACATTTTGTACATTGCAAAACTTTCAGAACTTTTAAACCTTTGTATTTTACACAATCATGTCAGTGCCATTATTGGCAACATACATGTCTTATTTTTTCTACTCCTCCTTTTTGACTTATTAGAGTTACTTACATTATGATTTATGGGTAAAGAGTAGAGTTGAAATTGAATTGAGTAGAGTTGAAAAGGCACATTTTTGATGCCAACAAATTATGCCAGTGGACAGTGCAGAAGGATGTATTACAAAGGGACATGAGTTGTTGATTGATGGATTTTATCATTTTATACCTTGAAATGAGTCATCATTTCATGTAAAACACATTCTGAAATTGTAGAAAAATTATGTTTTAATTGCAGATCATTGCCAGTAAAAGAACCTAACACACTTATGGCCACTTCAAGAAGAGTAGGGGTGACCAAGTGTGCTTGGATACAGACAAAGCTGCATGGCAATGGCTAAGCTAATAAAAGAAAGCATTATGGTTCACCTCTTTGAGGAATGTACTTAGAAGAAGAATTGCAAGTAATGAAATAACGATCACAAGTAGCATCTTGAAAAAATTGTATTAGACCACAAAGACTGGGTAGCAGGCAAGGAAAACTTGATGTGCGTGGCACTGTGTATAGCCCGTTTAAATTTGACTGTTTCTGAGCTTTTTTTTTTCGGACAATGTTCCTGAGCCTTTTTTGGTCAGTAAGTGAAACGTCTTTCACTCTGTCTCTTCTAAGCCACCCTGGCTAATTCTTAACCTCCTCTGTCGATCTGGCCATTCCAAGCACTGCATTGGCTGTTAGAAGGCAGAATTGTGCATTAAAGCGTTAAAGTGCTTAACTGCATTGTTTTCTCTTTATATGGTTAGAGCAAGGAGGTTAAAAATCAATTGGTTACAGCTACTACTAGACATGTAATGTTCAGTAGCCAGTAACTGTAAAATCGGTAGATTTTATGTTCAAAATCAATTTCTGATACAACCAGTAATAATTCGAACATCCCCTTCAATACATCCTGGTGAGTCCCTGCTGACACTCGCCTCATTCCACATGTTTACTGAATCTCCCCTATGTGTCCCCGCGCGCAGATTGCCCACCTCAGGCAGGATGTTTTGTGAATACAAACCATATGTGTCTTTCTCACGTACCGGTAAACGGTTTGGATTACTCCGCTGTGACCAGATATTCAAACAGGACGGCGTTGGTGGTGTAATGGTCAGCATTGTTGCCTTCCAAGCAGTAGATCCGGGTTCGATTCCCGGCCAACGCAGCGGCATTTTTTTTTGGCGCTCGAAACTTAATTTTCCGTCTTTGGCGTTTATAAAACCGGGCCTGTATTTGAGTTTTTAAATGGACCAGTGCATACGTACTACACATTGTAGCAGAAAACATATCATTTATGTAAAACTTGAACGTTTGCGACAAGGGATTTTACGTTGGGATTTTCTGCTCTTTATTTTCTATAAGATAAATTCTGAGAAATAAAGTATTTTCCGGCAAATTACAAAATGCAAATCAATGAGGAGTCAAACTGTTCAGTGGGATCAGGGATAAAAAAAAGAGAAATGTTCAAAATGTTGTTGTAATTCTCAGAATCAACAGTTTGAGATTTTTTGTCTCTTTTCCAATTTCCCAAACCACCAATACAAATATGTGGGCACAAGAATATTTGAAGACTGTACATGTAACGTTACCTCTATTACAAGCGCTAGGTGGCGCTTTAACTCTGCCGGGTGGAATTCCAGTGCAAAAAAAAAAAAAAAAACTATAAAAAAGCTTAAAACACGCCAAAAAATAACCCCAAACCCAAAACCTCTGCTTGGAGAGTACAGGAAGGCCTGATGGAGGCTATTAAAAGCTGATTGCCTGCTGTGGAGGCTAACCAGACTAATACACGCCCGCCCACTCCCTGCACGACTCCGCACAGACGCGTGTTGGGAACATGGCGCTAATTAGGCTGTACAGGGGACCGCTGTCTCAAACGATCAGTTGTCAGCGGGATTATATGGGGGATTGTCTTTGATTTAGAGATCAAGAAAATGAACGGAATTGGACGCATGGTTGTCAGATCAGAAGAAACGAGATCTGACAACCTGGCTTCTCTGACAGACGCCCACCAGATCAAGACTTGTATCAGAGAAGCCACGCTGTCATGAGGAAAGCCCACGTTGTGTACCCCACACTTTCCTGTACAGACTTTGTAATCGGGCTCTCCGTCGAGTCTGCCATTTCTTTGTTCACTGAACATCAAGAAGATGTTCACAGTAAACTCGGAGCCGATAACGTTTTGATATTGCTGTGTTTTGCTGATTACACATCTTCCCGTACATTCACACGCCCCCCCCCCCACTGTAACGATTACACCTACGCCGCCCTCTCTATAGAACAGTCGCCTTTTCAGATCACGCAGTTTTTGTACTATGCCAATACCGGTACCGAATACGCCCAGGAACTAGTATCTACCAGAATTATTGCAAAAAAAGGAGAAATTTGCCAAATAAGCTGAATAATGGACTGACTTTATATAAAAAATGTCATGACAATCATTCTAGCCCTGCGCTAACCTCCAAGCAGCTCTTTTTGTGGCTGCAAAGATATTGTTATAGGCAGTATCTATTTGCCAGACCATGGAGTTAAAAGGGAAAGGCCTTCTACACTTATAACTCCATGGCCAGACAGTGTCCAGCCAACGTTGAACGGTTGATGCAGTTTAGTCTGCTGGAATAATGACATAAGAAGGAGCATAAATAAATACACTTTGTTGAGTCTCCCAGCTCTCTTTGCTGCGGAGTAGAGCCATGTATGTGTGTTGGCTAGGGTGCAAGGGAGTTGGCTTGGGTTGGTGCGTTGTGGTCTTGTGCGTTTTGATGAGCTATACAAGTTGGATAGCCTCTACCAGGCTTCAGAAGAGGCTTGAAAGAGTAGAAATTGGTCAAAATAGACAGACAACATGTCAGGGGAGTTAGTTTGCTAAAAGGAGTATAGTAACTATAGTTTGCCGGTCCTGGACGCTTCTAGAGCCTGGTAGAGGCTACAACCAAGGACGTGCACGTGTGTTGAACGTCCTTGCTACAAATAAGATACGAGTATTCCTCTCTCCTTCGCATATCATTTGTCTCTCTTATATGGAAAAATGAGCCCTCAATACCTCAGCAATGCCGGATTTCGTTAGCCTTTACCAGGCTTTGGGAGACTGCTGGAAAGAGTAGAAATTGGCCAAATAGAGAGATAACATGCCGAGGGAGTTGTTTAGGTAGAGAGTATGCATTTTACCGCACCCTATTTGGCCAATTTCTACTCTTTCCAACCGTCTCCCAAAGCCTGGTAGGGGCTAGGATTACTGAAAAAAAAAAGGGGCGTGTCCTTTTGAGGCCCTCTGCAGACCACGACCTTGCTCTGGGTGGTACAGTTTCCCAACCCGAAGCGAGGCCGTGACCGCTAGTGACCTCTCCGCCGAAATCCCGGGGTGTCAGGTTTCATGTTGTCTCAGAGGTCGAACTCCAAAAACCGGTGCGGAAGCAGGAAGTGCACGGTGCCGCCGAGATTCTAGGAAACCTGCGACTTTACTGGGTTAAACCCTTTCACAGTGTCGTGACCTATGTATGTTTACAGCGCGTTTTTAGTCGGTTGTACATTTTCAATGTCGTCACACAGTAATTTTCTAGCACATATCGCCATAGAGGGAAAGGTCATACCTTAAGCTTTTTTAGCTGTGCTGAATTTGTTGTACCCTTATATCGGAGAACACGTTTGTCAGATGTCCGTACTTAGAAATAAATGTATTTCTTTTGACTGGAAATTTATCTTTAATTGAAATGAAACAAAACTCGTGGAATTTATGTCTCGCATCGCACATTATACAACACATAGCTAGCTAGTGTAGCAGGGTCTATGGAATTCTGAATAAGGGCATGGACAAATATCGAATGACTCCATAGACAAAGGTCTGGTGGGATACAGTCTATTCCCTCCTTCGTTCTTCTAATGCCCTAGAACAGAGTGTTATAACAAGTGATGTGTCACCTGTTATACAAGTTATTATGTTTCACGTGATGGATATATTGCTTGAGGACATTCTCACAAGTGGGACTTGCAGGACTAAACAGAGCGTGATAGAACCAATAAGGATATGCTAGAAGGAAGGTAACAGTGATACCTAATTTCTTGTGGGTAAATTTAAAATAAAAAAAAATTGCATCTCAAAATTGAGTTTCAGTGCCTTTGCTTTCAACAAAGACAGAAGGTAAATGTTTATTCAGCACTTTTATTTGCTTGGTCCTATTTTATAACTTTTTAATGATTCCAGATGGACATAAACGAAGTGGCCTTTCCGCTTCACGTATCAGCTTACAAGTCATGACAACAGTTTGAATTTCGTGTTCTGTGTTCTTTCCAAACAAACTATATTTATGGCCGGAAACAAGAATGCTGTTCTCCAAGCAGAGGTTTCGGCTTCTGCTTTTTGATTTGTTTTTAGCCTTTTTTTTTAAATCGGGATTAATTTTCTGTACTGCTATTTTTTTACGCCTTCCAATTTGCAAGATTGGATGACAAATGCCTGGCAAATTGATACTGCCCGGCCAATTTGACACTGTTTTGCAGCCACAAAAAATCTGCTAAGTCAGGAGATCACAAGAATGCCTGAAAACTCATGGGGTTTCAGCGTCCAGCAGTGATGTGACAATCAGAAAGTGATCTGTGTGCGGTCCTCTGGTTACTAGGAGTAGCGGGTGTTACGAAAAGTGGTCGAACGGATTATAGGTTCTTACGAAAACCGGCAGTATCCATAATTAAGAGGAGGCCTACAATGGACACTGTCTTATGCATGCTACGCGTAACTGCTTCGTTCAGCCAAACTCTCTAAAAATGCAGAAAATTCAGTTGAAAAATGAAATATGTGAAAGGATGTGATTTCTTATTATTACATGTGCTTACATAAAATGATTTTAGAGCCTGTGGTCTGGGTGTGGCCACTTGTATAACACAGGATCTGAAACCGAGAAAGCAGGTCACGCGTGCGATAGCGCTGTTCCCGCCAAATATTCCATCTCGCAATGGCAAGAACAAATGTATCATGTGGGACTTATGCAATCGCATATTGCGATTGTAGATTGTATTTTTGAATTTTATTATCTAGAGGGTGTGGTCACAATGAGCTCTTGTCTACCACGTGGCAATTTCGCGCCAAGTTTTCACGCTTTGCTACGTCACGTCACTGACACTGGTCACGTGGCAAAGCTAATTGTCTCCGGTAAGAGATATACACTCGTAACAGCCTGGGCTCGGAACGGGCCGACTTTCCCAGCCTCCGGTTGTTGATATTTGCCGATATCTGGACTAAAATCCCGCTGTGGGGCTATCGAGGAAGGAATCGAGAGCGTTAGAGGCATCCGTGCTGCGAAAGGAAGCCATCGCGAACCGGATATTTAGCCGGGAGTTGGACGGTGGCAAAGTGGCACGGCGCGGGACTGGCGACACCGTATAGCGCATGCAGACGATGGGAGCCCGCCGACTACTCACCGCGGCTGTCCTGTGCTTCTCGGTCATCAGTGCCGCCCACGGGCAAGGTGAGGCGATCGGTAACCCACCTGCGGTTTATTAGCGCAATATGAGCTGTTAAGGGGGCAGGGGAGCCGAGTTAAGGGCTTTGTTTTGGTTGGGACGGCATGGTTGGGCCGCCATGCGCCATTTTGTACATGCATGCTGGAATTCACGACCGCAAGCAGGCACATGACCGAGCTATCGTTTTTCTTCGGGCGCCAAAATATCATCATTTTAAGTCCCCCTCTAGGTCCTTCTGTCGGGCATTGATGTAATTTCCTACCAACTCTGATGTAATGTCTGCAAGTGTTTCTACAACTGATCCCGCAGTCTAGGTTTGTATCGTCTGCTAGGTACGAACGTGTCGATTACAGATACAGAGGGAAAAGGGGGTGGGGGGTGAGGTCTTTTTCGTACGGTCTGAAACCACAAAAATCTGCAATACTTATCGCTTGAATTCCAAGAATAACTCGCAATTACGGGTTTGTATTTAATAGCCGAAGTGGTCTCTTGGTTTTGAGAATATTTTTTCCGCAAGATTGCAATAAATTGAAACGCCAAGTTAAAGCCTTTCGCTTCTCTGTAAATTACCCTTAATAGAATCCCGACGCCAAGTTGGGCTCGAACAGATTGAATAAATTTGCTTGGATTATCCATAAGTCTTCTTGAATTCCGTGGGGATTTGATCTTAAAACGTGCGCCACGTAACATATTCTACCTTGATTGTAGCACCTATAATTTGTTAGTAAACACAACTCACCTTCCCATATGTTTTAAGAGGGGTGGGGGGGGATTTTAAAACATGTCGCAAAATAATCCTCAAATCAAACAACACTCCTACACATCCGCCTTTTCTAAACCAGCACAGTTAAGTGTTAGTATTGCTTCACCCTCTCCATATTTTGACAAGGAGCAGTCATCAAGTGTCAATATTGTAATTACTGATAAAACAATAGATAAAGAACAGAGAAAGTGACATAAGATTAGAGCACACCCTCTCTACTAGCTGTGTAATCCGAATTATGTGCAAATCAGTTATAATCTATGTTGTCTTTTCCTCACCCACCACAAGCCCTTTTGTGGTATCAGTGATTATTTTGTTGTGTTTGTGTTTGAGTTAATAGCTAAGCCGTGGTGTAGTATTACCGGGGCACTTCCTGATGACTTGTTTGACATGGCAAACTCCCCTCATTTGTATTTTGGCTGGACCTTCCAGGTTAAACAGCCGCACCTTTGCATCAATCAAACACCACGATTCCAACCCTGGATTTTGTAAACCTAGCTGTATAGCAGTGTTTCTTGTCTGGATTGCAGAACTGTTTAGAATATATGGTACTTTTCACCTACAAGTGTTTAACATGCAAACAGTATAGCAGAGAGTGGCTGGAATTACAATGTGTAGTGCCCTGTGCTTGAAGCAAGTAAAAGATATCACAGCTTCGGTGTAGTCGCATTTTAAGTTGCTTTTGTGAATAGAAATTGCAGAGGAAAGGTCATAGGCGATTCCAAAACAGTCCGCAATGCTGCTCAACTAGTATTTGTAAATGTTATCTTGTAGGAGCTTTTATCAGTAAACGCAATTGCTTTTTGATGACTAGGGAATTGGTAGCCATTCTGGCTACAGTGTTCAAGGATTGAACGTTTATTCATTAGTGTGTTATGAACACTGACACCATTGCTGCTCAATTTCTGATGATCAAAGCTTCGCGTGGTACGCCATGCCTTACGTGTGGTCTTTGGCGTAGTAAAATATAAAGTGATTGCCCCGTTTTTGGCTGGCGGCCAAGTCACAAGACACGCAAATAGGATCTACGTTTCTTTTTATGTCTGACAACCTTATCCCTATTACAGTCACAAGCTTATCTGTAATGTGAGAGAGACTCATGTGACTCAAACCTGATGAGTGCTCAGGCCTAAAGGACAAAAAGGGCACCAGATAGAACTTCTCAGTATCATGAATTTGCAGGTTTCATGCTACACTAAATGTATTTATGTTTATATGTAAGTACAAATGTATGTCGGTGAAGGTTAGACATTCAGGCAATAAGATATGCCAAAAAACTGTTACTCAAGCAACTGGATATGACTTTGGTTCAGTTCTGGTACGATTTTGATCCAGTTGCTTGAGTATTGGCGTATTTTTGTTTATTGCTTACTTGGTATAATAATAGGATGTTGTTTTTGTACCAATGCCAAGAAAAACTAGGAATTGTCTAGAAGATCACATGTTTGACCAGATGAAAAGAAGGTCTTTGTTATAGGAAAGAACAAAACAAGTGGGAGGGGGTTGAATAGTATCATGGGTCATCTGTAGACTTATGAAGACTAATCATCATCAAAATTTCTGTCCCCAGAGGCATAACTTTAATTGTCCGGCTCCTTTTGAAGTGAGAAATAATGAAAGTAGGTCATCTGACCAACTTGTGTAAGGGTAATGTTACCTAATGGTTTGGAGAATGTTTTGATTTTGAACTGTAAACAAACAAGGGTTACCCAGAAAGTCACTACTGCAAAGATGGAGAAATTACAAAATGCAGAAAGATCATTAGACTGTAGCATCACTGTTGCTATAAAATTATTGTCTCTTGACACGGTCTTGTACTGTTTCAAAGTGTTAATTTTCCCACTTACTTAAATTATTTGGTAATTTCTATAGGAAAAGAATGACCTTTATGTGTTTACGATGTGATACATTAACTGTATAAAAGAAAGGGAACTCCATTATAAAAGGTAGGTGTACTACAAGGTCCACTTCTTATGCAAGTCTTGTTGCAGTACTATTTACATTATCTGTACATTTTTCAAAGGTCAAGGTTTTAGTTTTTTTGTATGGCCAGACGACAATGAATTCACTGTCTGCAAACCACGTGGCTTTCAAGCCTGGCACGATCTTATCATTATCATGCACAACACCCACATACTTACATCACAGTGTCAATATTAGGGGACAAATAACTAGCTCTCGTGTTGAGAACAAAAAAGTGTTTCAACCCAACTCAACTCACACCAGTACCTTGGGCATTTATTCTAGATAGTTAAGTTCTAATGACCATGGGATCCTGTGCGAGTTGGTCAAATTGTATTGCTTCTGAACTCAAAACACATTCAGCTTTTATATGGATGGATGAAGGGCAAGCCCTCCTTGTGTACATCCAAAATCTTGTTACAGAAATAACAAGAATTCCTTTCTGCACTGTGTGTTACAACTAGATATGAAAGGGAACCATTGAACAACTTTCACGTGCAAACATAGATTACATGATGCAACCCTCTACCTTTCTTACCTTACCTAACAAACGTTGCATGCTTGTAGGCATAATTTGGATGCTGATGCAATCTTTTCCAGAGGGCTGCTGGAGTGCGTTGACCTGAAAGAAGGGCTTGTGAAAGAGGTCACCAATGTGTTACTTTTGTGGGGAGGGGAATCATAAGCATATGTTGTTATCTGTAAAAAGAGCCACATACAGTTCCAGTTCCAGTTTCAATAACATTACAGTTCCTATAAATTCTAATTGATGTGGAGTATGAAGATTGTGGGTACTGCTTTTGGAAAAAAAAGGGGTTGGAATATGTGGTATGGAAATGTTTCTAAATGATATTGATCCAAATGTAGAAATCTTGTGCATGTTTGTTTATCTGTATAAATCAATATTTCTGTATGAATTTGTGAAGTGCGTTTTTGAACTGCGTGCAACAGCTTTTCTATGCCTCAATGACAAAATCAATGGCTTGCAGCTAAACATTAGGAAAAACCAAACAGTAGCCTTGCGTTGCTTGAGTTACATGCCAATGACAAGACACTAAACAAACAACCCTGACTGAGAATTTTACAAATTTCTCAAGGAATACGAACCTTGAACATTGTCTTGTACTGTGGTTTACCTTTGCACTAATTCCAATTCTCATTCCATTGTGCTTTTTCAACTTCGATTCTTGTAAAGCACAAGCATAGAAAGCCATGTAACGTTACCACACAGATGCTGTGTTAACAACATAAATAGAGCCTAACCATGCTGTAACAACAATAATGATAGTGATACCTCTGTGTTTGCATCTACTATGCCCTGTCATTTGTAAACAAATGGAAAAGATGAATGAGAATTCACAATGCCTGAATGAATGCCACACAGGAGCCATTCAGCTACATGATAATTGTTCTGACAGATACACATCAATTGTGAGTGAGTCCTTGGGTGATGAAAAGACTATAAACGACTGGATGCTAATGAATATGCATTGTTGCTGGTAATAGTTACCCCACCTCCTTCCCCACCCATTTTTTATGGGTTCACCACACCACGAAGTGGTGTGGTGAAACCATATTGCTTTTTCTGATGTTTCTTCTTCTTCTTCTCCTCCTCCTCCTTCTCCTCCTGCCATTTTTTAAATGGATTCAGCTTCTTCATTTTAGGGCCCAAGGTCCTGAAATTTGGTATGGAGGTACAGTGGGCAAATACCCCTAGGCGTTTTTTAAATTATTGTGATACAGGCTTTTAGAATGGTTTTATTTGAGTTTTTTGGCTGTGTTATAGCAAATGTATTACTGTGTTAGGGTGCCTTGTTTACCACGTTTGGACATGAGTCATCACAATGGAATGCAGGGCATCAACCAATAGGCATGCAGCTTTCCTCTATACTTCTTGCTGATTGGCTGTTGGGATTTAACTTGATTAACACCTGCACAGAAGCATTTCCATACTGACAGTATGTCTGTATTCAAGTGTTTTGGTAGGTATTTCAAGCTTTCCTGCTCCAGCAGTGGAATGCCGGGCATGGACGTTTTTTTTATTTTGAAAATCAACAGTTTGCATTATGCAATTAAAAATCCTAACCAATAAAGTAGGGAATAGCTATCCAACTGTTGTTTTAGTTGTATTTTACTTCATATTATAGTTATATCAATGTAAATCATTGTTTTCCCTTGTGTTTCCCATTCTTTCCCTGCCATGTCGTAAAATGTGGTGAACCCATCGCTGTATTTGCTCCAAAGCAAATATTGGCCTTTCTAGTTTCATTCCTTCTTTTC